GATTTTTTTAAACTCCTGTCAACTATACAGAACTATCGTAAAAACATACCAGTAAATTCTTATCGGTTGGGTTAAGTTATAAATCTAGTCGTTATTCACGTAATCAGCCAAATATTTAGCGGGCGGGCGGCTAACAGCCCAGAACCGGTCCCGGATAGAATTGGATGCGTTATACGTGTAGCATCCACCCGAGGTCCTAGGCTTCCACCGGCTAAACCGGGTGAGGTTGGTGCTCTGTAAAGCGCTTGCGCGAATCTGGCTTTTTGGATGCTGACAATACAGCGCTTCCACTCCGCCACTAATATTCGAATATACAATAGCAATTTTTTTTTCACGTGTAGTATAGAAATTTGTAATAAGATATATAATGCGGTTATAATAAAATGTTGTGCGATTATTTTCATATAATTAAAATTAATATGTATTTATTTTTTAGAAAATACAAGGGAAGCGGCGCATCCACCGCTTCCAATGACGGCACGCCACTGCAGAGAACTATAACAAAGAAGAAGCACTCCAGTGGCCAAATGGTTAAATTTTCATCACGTGAAAATGATGCATCAAGATTGATCATGTATTCAATCGTTCTAGTTAGGGAAAAGTAGTGGAATGGGGCCCACCTACGATATTTTGCATATTTTAATTTGGAATGATTAAATTCAAATCTACATAGTTAATAAAATACCGCTAAACATCGCTAAATAGTCTGTATATATACACACAAATATATACACATAATATATACACACAAATATATACACACAAATATACGTACATAACGAGCAATTATATTTATTTATTATGACATCTTTATAGTACCAGGCTGCAATTTTTTGTCACAATGCACTTAAGTTTAATGGTATCGTGCCCCTATATATCATACTTTTCCTCTTAACAATGAAGCCAATGCTGGTCATGTATCTAATTTCGTTCAAGAGACAATTTTGAATTGAAATAACGTGACTTCCGGCCAAAATCGGAAGTTCATGTGTAGTTAATTTGGTCCGCCTGCCGCTAAGTTTTCCATATCTGGTCTTGAATTATATCTATTTAACACCTTTCTCGAGAGTAAGGAAGGACAGAACAGTGGGAATTTATATGTCTACGATTTTTTAAAATTGTAGTTCAAATACTGTATAGACCCTCAATATTTTGTGTAGGCCTATATATATATATTGAGAGGGTCCAACCAATCGCTGGATTACACGCAATTGGTTCTTTCTCGGTGTCACTGGAAATTTACCAAATATAAGAACCTTTCCACGTTGTATGGTCGGAAACAAATCGAGTGTTTAAGGCATTTTTATCTCTTGCTTTTACTATTTGTTCGCTATTTAATTTTTACAGTAGTCGAAAGTAAAATATTTTGACTTAACGACAAAGTACTGTAATAATATCAAATGCATTATTTTAATTTGCGCCATCTAAATGCATTCAGATGAATTAATGCCGAAATTAAAAAAAACACGCTGTTAAGAATTCTTTAATTTTAACGCCCGAATTATATATTTTTAATGTATAATGAAAAACTAAAAAAAAGATGTTTATGGCTTTAAGGTGAATTTTTAAGTTCTTGCGTGTATCGTCTAGCGTGCAGCAAAATGATGTCAATTTGATGTCATATCACACGCTATTCAAAGCTTGAGTAGAGTGGATTTGACGTCAAATTGATGTCATTTTGTTCACGATAGTGGTTGCTCGCAAGAACTGAAATACAACTGAATTTATCTACATTAAAAATATATAAAAAATGCTTAAAAGTTTAAGACGCGTGCTAATATTAACTTATTACTATATAATTCTTTTTGAAAGATAAATCCGGAACTCCCGATCTTTGGAGTGTTTATTACATGTATACATACTAATACGACATTAACATATTTGTTGGTTACAGACTTGAACATTTCTCTTTAAGAAAGTAATGCCTCAATAACAATATCCAATATAAAATTTAAACATTTATTATGTAACTTTATACAAATATAGAATACATTCAATTCTGTTTTACTCGACTTTTTAAATGAAACACCAAAATACATAATAGCTTTTAACATAAAATGGCATACAAAAAGTATATGTTATTTAAAGACATTGAAATAAACGCAATTATACAAACAATTTGTCAAAACTTTTAATTACATCTTTTTCTGACTGCTTCGATGGATGGATAAAATCGGAATGAAAGACTAATTGTCGCTACATACGTTCAAATAAGTCGTAAAAAATAGGCAAATCTTAAAAAAATTTACTTCAGCCTGTAACACCTTAATTAATTAAGACTAAGTAGTTTTATGGTTTTGTTGTAGACTTTTTAAAATGTAGGCCTATATACGGTTCTGGAAAAAATGTTTAGGACCGCCAGTGCAATTAAAATTGTGAATGAAACAGAACAATTTCTTTTTAATATTTTATTTACTATTACTAAATATAACAATATAATGATGCAGAAATCCAACTTAGAGTTCAGAATGGACGACTGAACTGGGGAATAATGAGTGGGGTGCTGTGTGATAAGAAAATAAGTTGCAAAATGAAAGAAAAATTATACAAAACCGTGGTAAAATCACTTGCCAGGAATGTAGTCGTAAATCATCAACGTTCCTTATAAAACTTCTCGACAAACTAAAGATGAAGTTTCCGGTTTGTTTCCGAATTGCCCATTATACCTTGCTAAACCTAGCAAATTTTCTCGAAAAAGTTATTTAACTACTTTTATTATAAACTATTTAACCAAACTCATAACGTAAAACATATTGCCAATTGCTACATTTTTTTTTCTACAGCAGTGTACAAAAATTATAACCAAATATTTTTTATTACAGCGGTTTTTTTTTGGGACAATTAGATCTGTATAACGAAATAAAAGTCCTGCTTCTCCAACATTTTTGCAACTATATAATGATATGCTAAACTACTGTCAAGTGAATACAGAATAAAACCGTTTGTAAAGGACACTTCTAAATAACGAACACCTTTAATTAACGAACATTTTAAACTATGTCAAAAAATTTTTACGGAGACGAAATTAAAAATCAATCGATGGTTTATGAGTTTAAATTACATTTAATAGATTAAAAAATATTTTACTTTAAGTATAAAAATGTCCGTTTAATAAAGATTTAAAAAAAAATTATAAACATATTCTATTACTTTTAAATTATTTTATAAATTTCAATAAGTTTATTGAAATTAAACACAAATTAAAGTTCAATTAGAGA